ATAAATTTTAATCAATCATCTACTTGTTTAAGATTATTACCAGATTTGACAGATATCATATATCAATATTTAGAAAATAAAAATATTATTAATTCAACAGTATTCATTGATCTTCAACAATGGATAATAACAATTTTAAAATCAATAAAACAACCATTGAAACAAGATATTTATTTTCTCTTCAAATATTTAGATAAATTAAGTGATCAATTGTCTTTAACAATGAAACAATTTCTATTCGATGAATTAATTGATATATTTCTTCGAATGGAACAACGAAATAGACAATATTTTGACATATGGGATCGTTTGGATATAATTTCACATTTAATTGAATGTACATCAAATGTTGATCTTTTTCAAAATTATAAAATACCGTATCATCCATCAATACTATCGAATAATAATGATTTACAATTACGACCAATATTATTTGATTTATATTTTTTTCATCTTCGACATCAAATAGTTAATGAAACTATTACAACAAATCTTATTAATAAAGGAATACTATTAAGATTACCAAAAATTCATAATAGAAATTTAAAATCTATTGTAGAATATATTTTCAAACAATTAAAAGATTATTTTCTAGTTAGACTGACTGCATTATTATTATGTGAAATAAATATGAATTTTTATATATTGAATGATGTAAATTCTATTATATCAACAATTATCAATGAATATTTATCAATTGATCAACAATCAATAAAATTTAATGACTATCTTCAACTATTTCTATCTACAATTATATCACAAAAATCATGGAATTTTCTTTTAAATTTATTAAAATCTGAAATTTTTCAATATTTAAATAATGAATGGTCGATAACTTTATATTGTTTACTTGAATTAAAACAAATACAAAAGCAAAATAAATATTTACCATTGTGTCATCAAATTCAATTTACAATATCTTCAAAAAATGATTCATCAATATTTCCTGAACTTCATAAACCTTATGAAGAATTAAGAGAAATTCTTGATACATGTATTAAAAATAATACTAATGAAAATCAATGGCAACTTTTATTAGATTGGATTGAATTAAAACTTAATTCTAATTCAATTGAATTACAATTAAAAGAAATAAAAGTTATGTTATTATTAAATATTTATTATGAATATTATTGTAATAATCAACTTTCATCTATTAATACATTATTAGAATTTATTGAAAATTATTTAGAATTATCATCTGAAGAATTACGTTTATTTCGTATTTTTATAAAACCTGAAGAATTTTTAATTGGATATTCAATAGAAAATACTAATAATGTAGATAGAAATTTTCTTAATGATATATTCGAACTTGATTGTACAGATGAATTCGAATTATCTTTACGACATATGCTTGTCAATCTTATTGCTATGATTTTATTAGGCGGAGAACAATCTTTTCTTTGGACATTCACATTTCGACCATTGACATTACAAAATACATATGGTAAATAAACTTCCCAGGTGTTAAATCGCTTTTGGATCGGGCATGTGTGCAAATGATAGATCTCAGTGAGTTATTACATGTCCTAGAATAGTTTGGTTTTCCAGTCTTCCGTTGTCGAGTTATAGACTTTTTACTCGATTTTTGGTTTATGGGCATAAGATTCTTCTGAGTATACTTGAATGATTGAATTTTGAACTGAAATTTTGTCTATAGATAAGCCTTATAAAAACTAGAAACTTTCGAAAGTTTGAGCCAGAATGAAGGCATCCTTATCGAGATATCAATTGGTCATGAAAATGTCCGTATTTTGAAACCCAACTGAAAACACCCATTTCTGTAAAATGTGAATATCTCGATGAGAATGCGTTCGTTCTGGCTCAAACATTCAGGTGCTCAGAAGAATTTTATGCCCATAAACCAAAATCAATTAAAAGGCCTATAACTCGACAACAGAAGGCTTAAAAACCAAACCATTCTAGGGCATGTAATAACTCACTGAGATCTATCGTTTGCACACATGCCCGGTCCAAAAGCGGTTTGATACTTGGAAATGTAAAATAATGATTTGTGTCTGAAACACAAACAAGAAAATGACAGAAACATTATTTTTTTCATAATTTTTACCAATCAA